TGGCGCAGAGTTTTTCAAAGCACTGGGGTTTAGGGACCGGGAGGGCAAAATAAACTTTAAGCGGGTAGACTTAACTAGAAGGAGGTTATCTGATTAGTGGCTAAAGTCAAGGCACGAGTGAAAATTAAACTCTTCACTGCAAAGTACGAATCCTCAAACTCACTTTTTAAGGAAAAAAATAAATATAGTTTTTGGTTCATTAGGTATTACGGCTTGGTGGCGCTAGCCACCGCCCGATCTAAAGGGTACAGCCATATCCATCCATCCATCCATCCATCCTGACTCTACTCGGTCCTGAGGAGTGGCTGCGACCACGTTGACGGCGTTAGCATCGTCGTTGGCGTACGATGTACGAAACTTGAATGTCACGTTTGCAGTCCTTGTCGGCGGTGGGGTGCGGTCCGCCGCAGAGGGTGCAGCGGGGTTTCCATTGGTGGTTCTCGAGTAGGGTTTTGAGTCCGCACTTCCGGCACCACGTTGTGTTAGGCTTAGGGCAAACGTCTGCGCAGTGGCCGAGGCTGCTGCAGTTGTGACAAACTTCGGTGTGTCTGCGGAAAAGCGTGCACCAAACTACGCTCGCACCGTACTATACATAATTGGGAACTTGCATTCCTTGAAACAGGATTGTCACGGCTGTGGTGTTTTTCATGCGTTTCACTTCCAGAGCACAATGGTTGCGCTTTGTGACGATCAGTTCTCGGAACCGGATGTCGTTTAGGTCAAGGTCGATGTCTCGGATGTTTCTGTTGCAGGTGTCATCGGGTGGAGCCAGATATACAGCAACTCGGTACAGGGTGTCTCGCAGACCGTACCGTGGTATAGGCTCGTGCGTTTCGTTCGCTAGGGGTACACACGACGAAAATGTTCTGGGTTACATTTGGGCATATGGAGTCTTCCATGAGGTCTTGAGGAGTCAGGGCGGCTGACATTGCCAGGGCTTGTTCAAACTGCACCGGTGTAACTTTAGCCACGTTGAGGCCACCTCGGGGCCTTACGATTATACGATATGTGTCTCTCGGTAGTTGAGGGAGCCTCGAGGAAGCGACGAGGCGTTGATACGTTCTTCTCGGTCCGGTGGTGCGGCCGCCGTCCCTACGTCGTCCACGCGTACTTGTTGTTCTTGCGTCTTGGGATTTGCTCTTGCTTGGTTTACGATTGTACGCCGTAATCCAGCCCGGGCCATTCGCTTCTTCAAGAGTTAATGTTTCGCCTTCCACGATTCCCATGATAAACGGGGTAAACTTGCGGGTTATGGCAGGCCTAACTACCTTGGCTCACCGAAGCAAAGCTTAGACCATTAGGGGTAGCGAGGCTGCGGCGGCATTGACACTTCAAAAGGCAGAGAAAGGGACCACCCACCGAAATAAATACGATGTCCACGCAACTCTCGTAGGTGATACTTTGTGGATTATTTTTATTACCGATGCAGTTTTTCCATCAGGACCTGGAGCAGAATTGGGCGATATTTTCACCACTTGTGCTATTTCCGACGCTGTAACCTCTTCAAAGTCATCGCTGATAACAGGGCACGGCAAGGGGTAAAAGTAAGCAGCCGTGAAGCGGCTCTCCAGCCCTTGGCAATATTTTCCAGAAAAGTAGTCAACTCACTTGGCATTGAGACTATCGATTCGAGGTTTAAATTGTTGGTGGTGGTATTACTTTTTTGGCTTTAAGGAAGTTGAAAAGTGATTTCCTGTGGCAAGGCTTCGAAAGAAACTCGGAATGTTGGCTATCACAGTTTTCCTCCACAGCGGCAACTGTTCGCTTAAAAACTGCAGCCGTGTATTTATAATCTCTCTAGTTTCCAGGGCACTGATTATAGAGCACTTTTCGCCACCCCGCTTTTCTTAGCCTGTAATGACATGAACAATCAGAGTTACACCAATGATTCAAAGGACGTTGTTTAGAGACCTGAACCGTGAATTTAGCTTTATTTAAAGATTGTTTTATAACATAATTGAAGTTGATAACATTCCACTCATTTTCTTCGGTTCGTTTTGACAAAGCCACACGTAGTGTCTGTTCAAATGTATTGAAATCGATGTGAGAAGTGGGTGCCTGATTACTGAAGTCACGGGACATACAAGCTCAAATAATATAGGAAAATGGTCGCTGTTTGTACCCGAGTTCATAGTAGACCATGTACAAATACAGAGGCTAGGACTACAGAAAGTCAAGTCAATCGCAGAATGAGACTGATTGCATACAAACGTGGGGGTTCGCTTGTTAATGCATGTTAAATTATTTTTAACAACAAAATCCCACAAACGCTTTCCACTCATATCTGTTCTGAATCACTAAGGAGTGTAAGGAAAATTGATGTGTCCTACCATAATTATGTCTTTTTTGCAAGACGAAATTACGGTATCTAAAACAGTAGAATTTTGAGCACCTGACGGAAAATAGGCATTTACTAACGAAAACAGAAAGTGTCCCGGAAGAGAAATATATATCATGTTAAAATTTCACTTTCTAATTTTTTTATTTGACCTGCAACTTTTATCCGATGCACAATTTTCGAAGAGATAAACACTGTTAAACCACCTCCTCGAGAGGGGCCGTCTCAGCAAAATGTTCGGTAGTTTTTATGAAAGATTTTTTCTTTAGAGAGCCAAGTTTTTTGCAACACTATAAGATCTAGGGAATGCTGATTACAAAGGCAAAATAAATCAGTAGTTGCGGAAAACATTGACCCGCAATTCCACTACAAAATTGTTAATCCACCTATTTTGAGAATATACCGGCAGCAATCACTGCCTTCTGCAATAAGCTATCTTTCAAAAAATTCTCCTTTGATACTATTTCTGATATTTTTTTACTTTTTCTTTTAGTACTCACTGGAGATCCTTGTTTTCGTGGCGACGCCCGCCGTTTCATTTTCTTTTAGTCAAGTCCATTTGCGAGTCCTGCGAACTTGAATCAGAGCTACAATCCAAATGTGCAACGGGGATTATTTTACAGCCGCAGTCCGACGAACCAGCTCTTGATGAATATAACTTTTCAACATGTGTTGTTATCGTGTGGCTGGGTTTAGAAGGCCCTGTTTCTAGAAATCCTGTATTCAACTCTTTAGCTGAAGAAATGATGGAGGCTGCATGTGTATGATTAACATTCATGAGGACTTGAGCGATTTGTGCATTTACTATTTGAGCAAATAACTGCGTCAGCATCACGAAAAATGTTCTCCAATAGCTTTGTCATTGTTTTCTCTATAATCAAGGCTATCACTCTCTGAGAGTGAGGAGTCCGTGACATGGTTATTACGAATCGCAGTAACAGCACACCCACGAGAGCGCTCTGTATGGTAATTCGAGCTTCGCGTCCTGAATGTTTTTGGTCAATTATTTCCATAATATGAATTTCCTGAGCTCTCGCAGGGCATGTACCATCATCAGATGGGTGAGAGCCACCGCAGAGACACCAAGACCTTTGCTGAGCTGTGAATTCTTCAGAGTTGTGTTGTCCTGCCCACACTTGACACTGCTCTACTGATCGGCAACCCTTCATGCTGTTCCCAAAACGCCAGCATTTATGGCACTGCAGTGGACGAGAAGAGAGCGCGTATAATCTGGTGCCATTTGCATAGCCTTCTCAATCGGTAGCCTAGTTTCACTCCCCTGTGGACACCTAGGGTTCCTTCCCACATGCTTCGTTGACATATATTTAGTAACGTATTATCTCTCTAGCGTCTGTACTGCAACAAAAGAAGTGTCTGTGTGCTCTACACAGGCTGGTTCTAATGTCTTAGAATGCGCACTGCAAGTACAGTTGTGAAGTTCACTCTACACCACATTCTTCTCTTTGCAAATTGGCAAAGTACTCACTAGTACAGGTCAGTCTGTAATACAGCAGACTTGCTGATGCTGTAGCCAATAATGATGCTGGCTATGCCTGAGCAATCTGTAATTGGCAAGCGCCTAAGCCATCCACACGCCGTGAAACTACCATATTTTGTGATGCCTAATGCTATTTATGGCTCTTTCACACAGTGTATGCTTTAGGAAGACCCTTCGCACTCTAGTATAGTGCTTTTTTTTTCGAAACGCCAAGCAATGGCATAGCCCTGCAGTAGAACATCTGCTTGTCACGCAGAAGGCCTGGTTTCGATTACCACCCGAATCGATAATTTTTATAATCTCTATCAATACTCAATTTTCGGTCAAGGCCAATGACAATTGTTTGTTCACAACCAAGCAATGACACCACCACTGCAAGTTCCGCCAAACGAGGTTTTAATGCTATTGCGTTAGTACCATTTCAAGCAAGAATGGTTTGCCTCAGAACGCATAGTTCTAAAGCCAGATTTAGTTAGTAAAGAATAAACAGGATGTACTTGCCCTCGGCTAAGGAAACGACACTGAATCTTTTGCTTAAGAGGAAAGATACCCATCCAAGAGTGTGTTTGGGCATGAGTCGGCGTGTTTTCGGTGCGGCATAGGAATGTCAACACGTCCGCGGCAGAAATAAGAGACTGTTGGAGCATAAGCAGGGTGAAAGAACAGCAATATAGTGGGAAAAAATAGCACATTCTACCGCAAAGGGCAGACAGATTACATCAAGCTTCTCTAATTGAAGTTTTAGGAACATTGCAATGTGACTTACTGACATGTGAACGTCATTTATGGTTATGCAATCACCTTCACACGGCGTTTCGATAGTTTGCTCTTTTGTCAATTCTATTTCAAAGTGCAACTTCTCAAAACATCAGATCAATCATTTTCTCACGTCATTTTCCACAATGTTTCTTTTGCTACTGTATCACAGAACTATAAATATTGATTATAGAACGCATTACAAGTAGCACAGCAAGGACTATATGATTTCTCGATAAAAACTGAAATGGTAGATGCCATTGACTAAATGCGAGTGTAGCTTCCTTATTACTGCAAACTAAATATAATGCAGATCTCCTCATGCGAGTGTAGGTTCAAACTAGTTAGAGTACACTTCGAGGAGTGTCCCATGGCTCCCTTGGTATCATATTCAAACTCAAAGCACAGCAAAAAATTAAAACATCATTTAATAACACACTCATTGTAAGCACAAAATAGCCTCGAATAGATGGCTTGTTTTAAAACACAATGCTACACGAGGCCAGCTGACTAAATACACAATGCCCACTGGATCACTGGGAATCTCGTCAAGTAAGAGAGAAGGGTTGTTCTTGATCTTCAGCCCATGTTTTTTCTGTTGCCACTTCCTCTTCGATTTTCTAGAAAAAAAAAAGGAAAAGATTTTCTATAAGATTATACAAATGGGTACAGAAATATTGTTTCTGAATCAAACAGCCTCAATGAAATGAAGCTATACGAGAAACAAAAACACCTGCTGTATACCCATGTTTATGGCAAGCATGCACACACCAGCAACAAAACTTGCGCATTGGCAAAAGCTCCTCCAGTGTGGCGACTCAGGAATTTGATTATCGGCATGCTGCGCCATAGCCTCGAGATAGCAGAGGCCATAAGGGTACCCAGACAACCATGCATCGTCTAGGTAGGCTCGTCCTTGTGACAGTGGCTCCGAGTCAGCTGGCTTTCTTGGCTAGGATGGCGGTTGGTCACCGGGTGCTTCTTACGTAAAAGCCCGGTGATGAGGGCGATGAGGTGGCGTGGAAGCGGCGTTGATTGGTTGGGGTGGGACCGCGACACTGACATGGAGGGTGTTAGGGGGTAATTAGGCTGAAAGTGGTCTCCTCTCTGAACCATCGAAGTGGCATCTCTTTCCTTTTCAACTATCCATTTGCTCAGTGAACGACAACACAGAAAAAAGAAAAGGGTAACACTCGCACACGTGTTTCGCATGAACCCTTGCACCTCCCGTTGAACATATCAAACACGGCCTGCCATGCAGAGTTGTCTCCGCCTGTTACGCAGGAAGTAACGCAGTACGGGGTTCCTCACTCGGTGTCGAGCATTCTCACCCACCGCCTGTGACCTGAAGGGAGACTGGCCTTAGTCCTCATGCTTCTCCCGTGACATGTAGTGTTTCAAGTCACATACGTGCACCGGTTCATCTCTCGGTTTGCCTTTCATGTTCGCGAACCGATAAACAAGCAAGGAAACCCTTTCTCGTTCTCGGTACAGCCTAAACCATTTCGGTGCCAGTGAGGCTGCGAACTGTTTGCTAGCATCGCTGAGAACATGATGGTGCCGCAGCACCAGATCACCCACTTCGTAGTGTAGGTTTCGATGCGTGCGGTTGTACTGTGCCTTCTGCTGTGCCCTAGCAGTGCCGATTACACCGTACTTTACATAAAGGTTCAGCTAGCTTCTCACGCAGCTGTATTGCGTATTCAGTGCGTGCTGATGTCACCACTGGCACTTGACTGTAATTCGCAAGGACGGTCTCCATCGGATTCGGCAGTTCTCTTCCCAGGTTCAGAAAAGAAGGCGCATACCCAGTTCATCAGTTCACAGTCGATCTCAATGTAAAACTCATCTCTGGAATGTAGGCATCCCAGTCCCTTTGTCTTTGAGAGAACGCAACAAGCATGTGCTTGATGTTAACGTCCCTTTTCCATAGCTCTAGTCATCGCAGCTACACGGGTTCAGACGAATAAAGCAACAGGCTTGGTTAACAAAACAACACTTTATTGCTACGTTAGCAATAATGCGTAAATGTCACGAAGAGGGACTGTCCACTCTAAGAAGATAACAAAGGGCATAACCACGCTAAATCCCAAGTATGCCACAAACTAGACCTATTATAAAAAGCTATCGTTCAAGGGCCATGATCACACCGATTTCAAAGAAGAGAGTGGCACTACCCTTCCTACAGGCACAATCTTCCTCCTTGTGAATAATTTCTTCATTGAACACGTTGGCAATGTCAGCACTAGGCATTCAGCCTATCAGTATTTTATGCTTTTTGGCTACCAACTGTCGTCTCAGCTTGCAGAGTCTTGACATCCAAAACAAAATTAAATAGGTTAAAATGTTGATTGCACACAATAGTCATACGAGACAAGCTAGAATGTGTGACAGCATAGCAAAGTGGGCATGGAGGCTATTCACAACTGACATCTCTTTGTACTATATGGAGAAATCCAGAGCCTATTTCATCACGATGTCATGTGAACACTGCTGGTGCCATGAATTGCACTGAAAAGCATAGAAATGCTAGGAGAGAAAAGTGCCTTCATTCTTTGTAATTTGAGAGTTTATACCACACACAAGAATATGGCTTCTCTTTTTCACTTTAAACTCCTGCTGAAAAGCTGTAATACTTCTGCACCTCTAATTATCACACATTTAAGTATTACATGCGCATACTACAGATCAAAACGCACCTCACTTAGTGTTCATCTTCAAGTGCATTTGGGATGTGGTATTGTTTATTTAATGCCACTCATATGAAAAATCACATTGGCTTCTTCGCATTGATTTCAAACGAATAAGTAAGGGCAGCACAGTTGGTACAGGTCATACAAAGGTCAATCAAACCAGTACAGAGCGTGGCCTCCGCAATATTGTGCATGGCAGCACACAACCATGGAACACATAGTTTAGCCCCAACCAATCAGCGAAGAAGTTCACAAGCAAGGTAACCTCTCACTGCAGACAAAAGCTATGATTATGATGGGAATAAATGCACACACAGTTGGATGAACACTGCAAAAAATGATGCGTACAGAAAGAGTGTAAACTAACAACTATTTTCATTCATTTCGTAGCTCCATATACCTGCATTGTTCAGAGCATAGAGTTTCCTACACCCACTTAGAGGGAAAACTAGTGCAGCGATCAGTTGGATGCATGGGAATGCTGAGATATGTGAGCTTCAAACTTGAATCAGATTTGTTTCGTTCGTGTATGGCCCGGACACCTCGAAAACGCATGGGGTTTCAAAGAATTTATTGCGTTGAAATGATGGACTACTTCTGGAAAGAGCACGTAGTAAGCTATTTACAGTGAAATCTCGGTAGAACTAACCCCACATCAAAGAACTTTTTAGATTAATGAACTTTCAAAAATCCCGCACCAACTGCTAATAGTTTCAATATAAAATTATTTCACTACTACATACTTCAGAATACTGAACTTTTCAGAATAACGAAGGGTAATTTAGTTCCGCATTATAGTTATATTATCAATGCCTCAGTACTACGAACTCATGTTCTGAAATGTATCGCGATCATCGGAGCGGTACGCAAGCATACGACAAAGCGAACGATCGCCTTGCTTTTTGGAAAACACGCGACGGTGAGGAGGGGAAAAAAGAACCAAAAGAGCGACTTTTTTTTCTTTGTTTTTGTTGAAACGCCGACGCTGCATATTTGCAAGCACAGAGGCGAGGGCAACACGGGAGGGCAAGGTCAGCGAGGCAGAGTTACAGTGTTCTAGAGCACTCTAGCAGAGTGGGAGTTGCGAAGCGGGAAGCATGGGCATGAAAAACCTGACCAGCGAGAGGAGCAGAAAACGAAACATGAGAAATTTTATTTTTTAGCACTTTTTTTGTTCTCAGAAGAGGCGATGACAGCCACGATGCTTAGGGTTTTCGCTATCTTTGTCACTTCTACATGTGCTTTAGGTGGTCTTGTTTGTCAGTCCTGTTTATCTCTTTTTGGTGATTGCTTATCGCGTCTACAAAGCAAGTCGGCATTCGCGCTGCGGTGCCACTACAAATGAGTTCATCTCTGCTTGGAATGAAGAAGCGGAAGCAGTTTTTGCTAAGCGAGAAAATGGATATTCTTCGACAACCGGAAAGCAAAAAGCAGGCTGTTGTGACCAAAGACCCGAATCGCACCACAATAATGTGGATGAGCTGGAGGCCTTTGCGCTGCAAAGTTTGTGCTGCAAAGAAAAAAAAGTCACAGACTTCTTTGAAACGTGCATTTTTTGGTGTTCACTTGTTCATTTGTTCTTTCTCGTGAAAAAAGAGTTCAAGGACCCATTGTTAAGGTGAGTCGTTTTAGTCGGTGGAAAATAAGTATGGTTAATTTAACTTTCACTCTAATGACCTTTCAAAATAACAAACAAATTGCCACGGCCCCCTGAAGTTCGTTATACCGAGATTTAACTTTAATTTTTATCACTGCACAGAAATGAATTTTATTTAACAGTGGAAAGTTCTGCGTTCAAGTAAAATTTTACAAAGCATAAAAAGCAACATAGAGCGGCTAAAATTGGAAGGCAGACGACGATGCCAGTGTTCACTCTGCCACTGCTAGTCTGTTTCTTTCGCACTTTGGTTATGCCCTAAAGGTGAGTGGACTGATATTTTAGAACATAAAACGCCTGGTTGAAATCTACATATAAAACTTTAGTTTCTGACAAGCTTTATTGGCACAGTAGTACCCGCGCTGTTGAGCCGAAGCCTCGCTCAACACGAGCCTCACACGCATACCAGTACGTCCGGCATACTGTCATTCACAGAGTGCCAAAAGCGCCCCTTCAAAAATTTGCACAGACGATGCCGCCATATTTCCTTCTAGGTAGTATTGTGAGAAACACTATGATTGAGATGTCCCCAAGGAATGGAAAAGTGGATGGGGTAAGAAAGGAGGAGAGCATGCATGACAACCTACTTCCTGTCAAGAAAAGCAGCGAAAAAATTCGCTTTCCACACAATACAAAGCAATATAACTGTCACACAATGATAGCTCATTTCATTTAACTGAGTGTCCAACCATGCCCATCAGAGACATGCACACAGTAGCACAGCAAGTTCTTCTAAAACCCTCAATGTAGGTTGAATTGCTCAATCTAAATCACGACAACTGATTGGGCATGTTGTCTACCATTCACACAGTTAAATAAAAAAGAAAAAGAAGCAATTCGAAGATTGTTGGAGTTAGCTCTGTGTCCCCCGTCAATTGAATTTCACACTGCATGATGTTTCTCCCAGCACGAAGCTTTGCGGACTGAGAGAGAATGCAGGAGGCTCACCGTCCTTCCAGTCGTCCATGGCGCGTTTGTAGTCCAGGGCTCCCTGGTCATCGGCCTCGGTGAGCTGCTCTTTCTGGGCCTCTTCCTCCTCCAGCTCTCGCGACGCCTTCTCCGGATCTGCTGCGATATCTTGCAGGCTCCACCTGGTGCATGCACACAATGCAAGAGTCAGTGAGCCAGCCAACAATACGGAAAGAGAGTGTCTAGAAAGGTTGTCCATTCATTTAATTTCCTGCATGCATTACAAGCAGTGGTGACCAAATGCAAAGGAATACTGCTGACTAGTTCTTTATGGGAACTTGGAAATAAGGGACACTGGAAAATATTATACCTGGATTCTGTTTCAATAGATAACATAGTAAAATTGTAAGTGCACTGAATTATGACCATTATACCCTAAAGATCACTATATTCAAGATTGTTATAGGAAGGTTCAACTGTACTTTGAAGTCTTATACAAGGTAGTTGACCCATCCAGCAATTCAACAATTCCATTCTTTGATTTTGCCATGTTTTGGAAAGGAGCATAAGCTTGACGACTGATAAAAATTGTGAGTCTCACTCCATCTGAGAAACGAGAATACTGTACAGCTTTTGGAATAGCGAAGGCTTCTTTTTCTCTAGCAGCACAATTTACTTCAGCTGGTTTGGACGTACAGCTGTGGTATACAATTACGAGGTAGTTCTGGAGATGAGATGTCAGCGACAACTGCCAATAAAGAATCGCACCCATAGCATAGTGCGACATGCTCAAATTCAACGCAAAAACAAAGAGAAGTCCAGTATATGAAGAATGGGATCTGATAATATGCGTTTCACATGTCCGCAATGACCTTCTTTTAAACTGTGGACTCCATTTCCAGAAAGGAATGTCCTTTCACTTTAAAAACGCTTAAGGGGGGACGCGGCCTTTGAAAACCGAAAAATCGCGAAAAAGGTCGATTTTTGGCAAACCACATATTCGGGCAGTATGTGTCATAAACTACCTTTTTGTAAATATCAACGTCTAATTCGTCGCGAAACCATTTGAAATAAAGTTTAGAACATGCCGCGGTGGCCCTCGAGCGGCGTGCGAGCGCTCAAAATACCCCAACTTGGCGTGATCGCAGTTTCTCGACCGCTCGACGGAGCGCCGCCATTTTGGTGTTGTTTTGTTTGTGAATTCTTGCTCTTTCTTTCCCCGCCACCTGCGTCGCCGGCGGCACCGCAGGAGAGGAGCAAGCCGCTCATGATTGGAGTGCTCGCGAGAGCTATCAAGTTTCCCGCGGCTGAGGCGCGCAGCTGGGATTGGGCGAAGCGCGCGCTCCCCAAGGACGCGGGGGAGCCCGCGACTGCCATTGGCTGCTGCGCGCGATGACGTAGCGCTCTAGCGCATAATGCGGCCGATGCGGCCGCTCGTCTGCTGCTCCTCCGTCCGGCGTCTTTGTGTTCCGCTCGCTTCCGTGTATCGTTGCAGCCGTTCGCATACTCTCCACGTTTCAACTGTCTTCGAAACGATTTTCAACCGTCTTTACGAGACGATTTTCAACCGTCTATACGAGACCGTTGTTGTGTTCGCTCACGATGCGCCCAACGAAAAAGAAGACGCTACAATCGTTCGGTGCAAGGAAGCGAGCTATGAAGCTTGTCCGCGCGGCGAGGCTCTCCGCTCGCACGTGCGCCGACGGTGATCGCGCCGACGGTGATCGCGCCGACGGTACCTGTGGGGCAGCTTCTGCTTCATATACGCAAGAGAGTGGTCGCATCGACGCGCCTAGCAACGGGACTCCTGCTCCGCTGGTGCAAGAATTTGTCGTTACAAGTGCGCCTGGTGTCTCGTGCTCATCGACAGTGGCTTCCGCATCTTCTCTTTCATCGGCCTCAAGTGCGATCGCGTCGTCAACTGTGCATTTGAGAACAAGTTTCCTGACGTGCGAGGAGAAAGAGGCGGCGGATCAACAACGCGCTGCTGTGCAAAGAGAACTTGGCGCTATGCCAGCGACGGAGCGGAAATTTCAGGCAATGGAGCGCGATCATGAAGCTGCCACCGCTACAAGTGAAGGCGAAAAATTTTTCCTTGTGCAAATGGATGCCCTAGACGACCTGCTATCTCGGACCCCATGCCACCGGTGCACCGCGATTGGGATGAAGGTACGAGGAGGCACCCAACTTGGACTTGCTGCAAAGCCTGAGCTAGTATGCTTGCATTGTGGAGTAGTTTCAAGCTCATGGAGTTCCTCTCGTCAGGATGACACAAAGGCCTTTGATGTGAATGTAAGAGCCATTATGGCAACAAAACAAATAGGCAAGGGACAAACAGCTCTCAACGACTTTTGGGCAGCGATGAACGTGTCCCATCGTGGCCTCCATCACAAGACCTTTCAGAAGCACCTGAAGAAATTCAGGGAACCGCAGACACAATGCATAGAAAATTTCTATGCAGAATCTGCTTCTGCTGTAAAAGCCACTTACAAAGAAATGGATCAATATTTCACCAGGGATATAATAGTTTGTTATGATGGAACATGGCACAAGCGTGGGCACACATCCCATATTGGGGCAATTATCGAATACCGTACGGGCCTTATCTTGGACGCCGTTGTTCTGTCTAATCAGTGCCTTGGTTGCCAAGTAGGGCCAAAGCCTGGAGACGCAGACTATGCATGCTGGCTGGAGAATCATGTGTGCCAGAAAAACACAGACTCTAAATCAGGGAGAATGGAGGTTGAGGCAGCTATCATCCTCTTTTCATGCTCACTGTCGAAGCACAACCTCCGTTACACAACGCTCGTGTCTGATGGAGATAGTGCCACCTTCTCTGCCCTTGTACAAGAAAATGTTTATGGACTGGTCCCCATTTCAAAAGAGGAATGCCTGAACCACGTTCAGAAGAGGATGGGGACTGCACTTCGCAACCTTGTGCAGAAAAGTGACAAGGCTTTGGGAGGGAAGGGCAGGCTGACAAAGGTCCTCATCGACAAGTTGACAGATTATTATGGCTGGGCCCTACGGAACAATTCCGATGATGTGGCTGCAATGCGGCGGGCAGTGATGGCATCGTACCACCATGTGACGTCGACGGATGAGGAGCCGCACCACGACTTGTGCCCAGAGGGTGCAGACTCCTGGTGTCGTCACAATGCCAGCAAGATTACCGGTGTTCCACCTCCTATGCATTCGTACAAGCTGCCACGCTATGTTGCAGATGCACTTCTACCCATTAATGAGAGGCTCTCACAGGCTTCTATTCTGCAACGCTGCCTGGGAGCAAAAACGCAGAATGCATCAGAGTCCTTTCACTCTGTGCTGTGGTCCCTCATGCCCAAAGAGCAGCATGCGTCACTGATTGCTGTAGAGACAGCACTGCATGATGCAGTGCTAAGATACAATGCTGGCTGCTACAGGGCCACCCAAGAGCTAGCTTCATCAGTGGGGCTAACACCTGGCCACCTGGCCATTCAACGGGCAGCCGAGAAAGATTCTCTGCGCTTGAAAAAGGCTAAGAAGCGATCCCTAGAGAAGATGGAAAGGCGGCAAAGAAAGAGAGTGTCAAAGGACACCTCCAGTTACGCTGCAGGTTCATTTTAGAACTGCCTATGTGCTCAAAACTTTCAAACGTCGTTTTCTCAAAATGACTTTTTTGGCTAGTGAGGCTGCTTATTCCAGCCATATCTCTGGAACCACTCATTGGATTTCCATAAGTCTTTTTTTATTATGTACATGAATAAATTTCTGAGGGGGTGACAAGCCCATTTTTTCAATATATTGTGTGTGTTATTTATTATATTTAATCAAAATTTGATTGATAATATCCTAATCACGAACACAAAGTTTGATGGTCTGCTAAAACTTTTCAGCAAGCAAATTCAACAAAAGGGCTCTGTTACCCCCTGGAGTATCAATCTGGGAATCATCATAGTTAATTTCACAGTTCCAGCACCTTTTGAAAGTTCTCCAGGCCTGGAATAAGAGAACCATGTGCACTACCCTGATATTCTGCTGTAACTTGAAAACCAGTGAACATAACTTGATGAAATGTTTTAGTTCTTCTAATGCGTTTGCTATAAGTCTATCCTGAAAATTTCATTAAGATATCTCAATAAACAAAAAAGTTGGTATCCGATGGTAGCCTCCCCCCTTAAGACACCCTGTCTTTACTACATAATCTTTTAGGGGAACCTGGCCTGTCCAGCTAGGCAAAAAAATACACTACATCCTCATTATAACGAAATCACATCAGCTATGAAAATACTTTGTTACATCCATAAATTCATTATGATTGTAATACTAGGCTTATGCAAAAAGTGAATTTTTAATTCGAAGGGAATTCAAAGAGAACAGTCGAATAAGTTTGGTCGAATAATTTTGGTCGAAAAATTTCAAATAAAATTCATACACAGTAGACTCTCAGTAAACGGAAATCAGTTGAACAAAAGTGCTGCTTAATTGGAAGAAGTGCTTATGACAAGATTGGTTTTGTACCTGTATTCTGCAGCCTTGTTCATGCCTCAGTAAATTGAACTCCTGTTCGTTGGAACGCATTCTTCGGGTCCCTTCAGGATCCGTTTAATGAAAGTCTACTGTAGTATATACCTTTCCAACCCAGCGACCAGTTTTGGACATACCAAAAAAGGCCATGCCGAAAAGCGACCAGAGCTATAATCGCAACCGAAACCATTTTTGCAGCTTCTGTAAGAGGCGAGCACTTAATTTTAAGGGGAGATGCTACTGGAAAAACGATTTTCTTTAATAAGAGTCTGAATTTAACACAAATTGGCATGCTAATAGAGTTTTTTCTCCTCTTTTCAAATATGTCATTTATTTTCATGTAGATTGCTTGGTTTTCTTTCTGCAGGTCAGATACTGCAAAATTATGGCCATTGTTATGCAACAATTCTGACCTATAAAAATTTGAGATAAAGCATGCAGATATAGCTGACTATGATCCTTTGGAACTGTAGAGTGCAAAAAACTATATAAATTTTGTGTGTAAAAAGGTGAAATACAATAATAAAATAGAAAAATTTACTATGGCTCTAGTTGCCAAGGGCTTTCAATGTTATGTAATTTTTGAAAAACATAATCAAGCAGCACTGACAATCTGAATAGATACTTGCACTCTATGGGCCTTCATCATGCTATGTGCAAAATTTCATAGAGGTAT